ATACGTATATTTACGACAAAATCATCCTTATGGCTTCATTCATTAATTTTCACATGCATGGGAGTTTTTGAGTTTGTTTTACTGTATCTTAAAGCAGTTGAAAATTATGAAAACAAGGTATGCTCATATTCTTTTCCTTTCGTTTTATTTTTATTCATTTACGAGAGATAAGTCTCTTTCTTGTTCGTTCATCCTTTATTTTGAATCACTTTGACCTTCTCTCATCAGCAACGTTTCAACGTTTGTGGAGCGGTAATGTCTTTCTACCTGGCGATCTCGCATTGAGAATATGCTAATGTAAGATTGGCTAAAGTTTCTTGATTTACTAATTTAACTGTTACGGTCTCTCTAAGATATTCCATCTAACTCTCTTCGGCGAATATTTTGGTTTACCTAGCCGCACCTTATACATTCCTGATGAGAATACTACTGATTAAAGTTAACGATAAAAATGTGTACATGTATATACTGTCTTAAAAAAATTTGAAGGTCATATTTTAGTTGGCAATGATTATTATTTTAATATGCTAATGAAAAATTTTTTAGTTGTTACCGTTAAAATGTATACTTAAATTAATTCGTAAAAAACTAGACGTTTTAGGAAAAGTATATAACAAAATTTATTATACACTTTAACTAGTAGTAGTTTTAGAAAATAATGAGTTAATATGTGCCTATAATTATCAAAGTGCTCTAAGTCATATATCTTTTGTTTCGAGATATTTAAAGATTTATACTTGAACACTATACGAATTCTATACAATATTGAAATAACAAACATTATCTAACGATTCATTTTTGATAATATAGTGAAAATTACATTGAATTTATTTAGTTTATAATAATATAGTGTGTAATAACTGATAAACTCATTTTTTATTAATTTTGACTTAGACCACTTTCATAATTATGGGCACATATATGAATTTATGAGAGGTGAAAAGTTAAAGGAGTGGTTCCCAAACTTTTTTGTCCTATCGCCCCCTTTCCAGAAAAAATACTACTTATCGCCCCCCTGAAAATAATTTTTTGGTTTTCCTTTTTTTTCTTAGTAACTCAAAAAAGCTCAAATATATAAAAAAAGCCCTCCAAATGCTCCTGTGGCCATCATCGCCCACTTTGGGAATCACTGAATTAAAGAATCAAATTGAAATTTGATCCACTTTTTAAGTCTGATTTTCTTTTAACAACAATGCTCGTATCTTTTTGTAGTTCTTCTTGTACTTTAAAAGCCAATGTTCAAATCTAATATACGGATTAAATATCAATTTCATAATTTAATATGTTGTATATCATGAATTCATACATTACCCAGTTAAAATATGTAACTATGCCTTATTTCATACTTTAATTGATCGTTATAGTTATTTCATGAATTAAAATATTTCACGTTATAATTGGTAACATATATAAAATAATTTTTTTTTATTATTAATTAATAAAAATTAATTAATTTAAAATTAATAAAAATTAATTAATTTATTAATTAATAAAAATTAAGTAATATTAATCAGCTCGATTAATAATTTAAAAATTTTATCCATATTTTTTCGTTTGTTTACAAGATTATTAATTTAAGCTTAAATAACTTTGTATACAAGTAACGAGAAACCAATACTGTTCGATACCAATAAATATTCCATTTTTAATCGAATTCTATTGTTTATGAATAAAAAAGATAGATTCATTAAATATGAGACAAAAAATGAGATGACATTCCACGTCAAATCGACCACTGTTCACCCCGAACCCTCTTTCGATTTTGCTGAAGCTTTTTTATCATTTGTAACTTAAAAAACTTTTTAAGAATTTTTTCAAATTTTTTTGACCAACCCAAATAAAGTTATGAATTTTTTAAAAATTCATAATTTTTAAATGTACTTTTTGAAACAAAATACAAAAAAATATTTGAAGTCGAATTCTTTAAGAAATTTCGTTTCTTTGGATAAAACCTCAAATTTTTCCAATTTTGGTATTTTTGATTTTTTTACTTTTTCCTTTTAAACTTTGGTTTATTTTGAACTTAATGCAAACCTTTTTCAGACGCACCAACATTTCTTTCTATATTTTTTCTAATTTAAAAATTTCGTTTTTTTTTCTAGCAATTTAATTTTGTTTTTATACTAAAATAAACCTATATATATATATATATTTTTTTTTAAATCTATTTAATGACCTCAGTTTAATTATATACTATCGAAAATTATGATTACAAAAAGATTTCAATGCACCATTGTCAATTTTTTAAGTAAATATAATTAACAATTTATTTAGATTTCCTTGGTCGCTTAAATAATTTACAAACAGTATGTTGCTTTGAATTAGAGTAATTTTTTTACAAATAAACACCCTATGCAATCATAACGGTGTAATTTTCGCCAGTTGTTAACTAAAATAAAGCTGCAGATGATCTAGATGACCGATTTAAAAAAAAAAAAAAACAGTATTGCCGGAACTCAGCAGTTGCATAGTGTTATACCGGTAGTCCGATAGCTCAGGTAGTAGAGACGCTGTCTCCCTTCACGCCTACTAACATCAGCGAATCTCGAGTCCCAGCAGGATCCGTTCTCTCCTGACTTTGACCACTATAAGACAATCAATTCAAGGCTCTAGAAAAAGTCATGAAGCAGAAGCTGGACAGCAAAGTTCGCACGCCACGCAATCATCAAAGCGTTAGCTCGTTACGCTGCATGCATTAAATTGGTGCAAATAACGAGTAATCATCAAAGTAAAACAAAGTTCTGGAGGCTCTCACATCCTGGACTATTCTAAAATGAAGTTATCGGCTTCACTCAGTGGAATGAAACAAACCCAGTTAAAATGATGGGTGTGTTTGTCAGGAATTGTTCTAATTTTGAACAATATTACTAATTCGTAAATTATTTAAGCGACCAAGAAAATCTAAATAAATTGTTTTTAAATTAAAAATACCAAAATAAGAAAAATTTGAGATTTTTTCCCATAGAAAAAATAAAATTTCTTATAGAAATTTAACTTTAAATATTTTTGTTCTAAAAGTACATTTAAAAACAAAAAATTAAAAAAAAACGTCCCGAAAGGTCTATTTTTTACAAATTTATGGCTATTGAACAAAAAATTGAACAAAAATTATGAATATTTGAAAAATTCATAACTTTTTTGGGTTGGGCAAAAAAAATTCTTAAAAATTCTTAAAAAGTTTTTTAAGTTAAAAATGATAGAAAAGTTTTAGCCAAATCGAAAAGGTTCGGGGTTAAAAGTGGTCGATTTAACGTGGAATGCCCTATATATAGAATACATATATGTATACAGAAATACATGTAGCCCTCCTACAACACCGCATCGCTATAACACGATTCATAAATTGCGAGAACCCTCCTACAACACTGTATACTATAACGCGGTTACCTTTCAAAAAACCTTTGTACAACACTGTACTTCTACAGCCGCGGCGAGGCTTTTCGTCTTAAAAATACAGTGTAGCGGAAAGTATTTCTTTTCATCTCCATGGTCTGAAAACAATAGTTTTTGGCTCATGGCTTTAGGTCTCATACAACACAGCATTTTCTAGGAACCTATCTATCATGTTATATGAGGGTTACTTGTACCTGTTTTATGTAGATAGAACATTAATTAGATAAACTTACTATAGTTTAAACATTTGATAAAGTATTATTAAATATATCTAAATGTCTTACTCGTCAAAGTAATTACTTTTTTTTATATAACTATTTTGCCAAATTGTGACATTCGTACAACTAATCTTTGCTTTTTTCTCATTTGCAATGTGTTCAAATTATTCTTAAAATGTCCAAGTCTTTTTGGATCTTAAACAAAATGAAACCTGTAGCTCGAAATCTTAAGCTCTTAATAAAAATTCAGTAGTTGCTTAAATGTCCAAATAAGTTCATTTAATTCTTGTAAAGCTGTAAACTTGCGACAAGAATAGACTGAAAAAAATTGAATATCTTTTCTCACATCAGAGATATCCAAGACAAAAAAGGGAAAAGAAAAGAAAGAGAAACCGGTGTGAGTCTTCTTTCATTGAAATGACTTGTCTACCTATTTACTTTCCCTTCAATTCTTCTCTATCTGTTTTATCCACAAATAATAAAATTTGGTTAATAATAGAATTTACATTCGTATTGAACAATATTGATTTTTCATTACTTGTACATAAAATTTGTAAAAAAATGAATTTGTAATGTTGTTAAATGAACGAAAAAATTAAATTTCCAAACCATTTATCAAAATGATGAATTAATAACAATAAAAGTATTTTACATAACCATTATGGCTTATTACAGAACTTTTACTCCTAATAAACATATTAAGATATTAAGAAGACTTTATAAAAAAATGTAAAAAGTTTGTATTAATAATACAGTAATTATATTATGCTCGAACGCAAAGATTTAGATAAATGTAATGCATTCGTAAATAAAATCAAAATATGAAAAAATAAAAAACGTGTTTGTAAATAGAACGATTTTGTTTGTTCCATGACGCAATACATCCATGCCTTATGTATGTATGTGTGTATAGTAGATATTTTGATAGTACGAGTACAGCAGCTTTAAAAACGGTTCACGCTGTAATCTATGTCACGATAAGAAGCATCCTTTGATAGCAATACATTCAACTTGCGCTATTGCTTCTACAAATATTTGAATCTACGCCTATAAAAAAAAGCCTCTGCTAATTCCAATATGCATGTACCGTATCGATAAACTTGATGCAACTATTACAAGGCCATGTAATGCAATGTTTTAACAGATAACTCGATTGAAGCTATGCAATGATTTAAACGAGACGAATGCTAACGAATAATCAGAATAGAAAATCTATGCGAGATAAGGGTTCTTTAAATATATTATGGATAATTATGTTTCGTATAAAATATACACAAAATTAATAGGAAAATAATATACTGAGTTATACATATGGAAATATATAACAATATTATCATAACAAAATATTTGATAAATTATATTTTTAAATTATATTTAAAATATACTCACGCTTCTGTGGTTGGTGGCGAATAAAATGAAGAATTATAGGAGTTCACATCAATAGCCTTTAGTGGCACCAACAACCCTCTTAGCTGGCCGTCCATTCTCTCTTCCATCTCTTTCTCTCTCTCTTCTTATCCCTATCTGTTTTTCACTTTTCTAACAATTGTAATTTCTTCAATGAGATGCAATCGCACAGAACTTGTAAGTCTGCACTAATCATAAACAATATATATATATATTATATATACTTCTATGAAACACACCACCAATGTAAAATCTAATTTCCCCAAGTCAATCGTGTATATCATTCGTCCTTCGTTTGATAAAATCTCATAGTCCAGCCTTGACGAGAAGAAAAGGAGAGGGGAGAGAGAGAGAATGGGCCACGATGACTCCCTCCCTTTTTCTCTCTCTCTCTCTCTCTTTCTCTCACACTCTCTCTATTTCTTGTTGAAAAATATGAAAGACACGTTTGAATTTCCCGCGATTTTATACTATAGTCACACATACACCCAATGCCACTGATTTCTTTTTTTTTCATGGATCGGCCATGTTTATAAAAGAATGTGTCGTATCGTCTCTCTCTATATATAAAAATGTACGTATATATATATACTTCGTACTTCCTTTGCGTCTCTGTCTCTATTTCTTTTTTTCCTTTAGTAGTGTAAGAGTAATAGAGAGAATAATATGGCGACCATGGACGATAGACGCTCTGTCTCTTGTAAAGAGGTTAACTTCCGGTGTGCTCCAAATGATGGCAATTGATTACTCTCACTTTGTTTTGTTTTATCGATTCATGCGTACGACAGAGACTACCGTCGTTTCTTGCTCTATCCGAATAACACCCGCTCTGCACCCTTCGTGATACTTTCCGCTGGAAAAGCAATTAATCACCGTACATACCACACGCGGTACTCCACTCTCGACAATTTCGACCAATCGCCACGATAGTTTCCTATCTCTGTTCACCACGCTCCTACCTTTGCTGCTATTTCGATGTTTTCTCTTTTCTTTCTTCAAAGATCAACACTAATCCACATTTTATTATTCCCCGTGTCAATGATTACATTTCAGCGTCTCCTTATGTAAGCTATATATATATATACAAAGCTATGTATATAGAAAGAGAGTTTTAAGAAAGAAAAGGAAAAAGAGACATAAAAGAGAGAGGAAAAAAGGGAAAGAAGGAGACAGTGTTCTTGACCGAAGATCTTACTGTGCCAGCATTTGGTTACAGACTGAAGGTAGTCGTCGAACCGCCGAGTGCACCGAGAATCTAACATCGGATGCTTTCGGAGCGAAGAAAGTTAGAGGGTGGGGGAAGCTTGTTCCAAGAGGAAAGAGTTTGGCGGTAGGGAACAAGAAGAGGGGATTGGACGTACAGGGTGGCCATTAAACTTCACCAAATATGTTTTTCTAGGACTAAATGTTCGTTTCATTCGGCGAGCGAATCATGCAGTTGAGTGTCCTTCGTCTCTCATCGTCTTTTTCTTTATAGTCTACCATCTTTTCCTTTTCTATTTATCTTTCTCTTTCTTTCCTGTGCGGAACAATGAAAAAAAAACATACAGGGATGTTGAGAACTCAGCTTGATTGACTCTGTAAACGAAAGAGTCGATTTAAGCAGTAAGTATGATATGTCTATGGTCCAAAACAAGAGAAAGAAAGAGAAAGAGATAAAGAAAAGGATAGTTATATCCGGTGGAATTTAAAGCGCCTTTTTCCACGTGCTGATTAAAGATACGAGGATATCGAAGAATACTGATTGTTTCCAAATATAATTAAGTAAGCAATGATTAAAGCAAGACGTGAAGAGATGTCAATTCATCAGGTTGTTCCTGTCGAAGTATATTTAAGCGCGTAAATATTTAATTTGTAAACTTATTCGACAAAACGCGATATGATTACATAAGAATATCATTTTAATCCAAAATATTGGTCACTCGAGATAAAGCAAATAAAATTGATATACTGCACAATTGATCTTTCTAGCGTAAAAGCACAATCCAAATTTTCCTTTTGGATACATTTCGTTCAAATGAATTTTAAGTCTCTCGTTCATGTTTATAATACATCTAAAAAAGATGAATTTTTTTATGAAATGTGTCTACAAAGAGAAAAATGCTTACCCATAAGCTTATATTGCATATCATAGTATAATAATGAGTATAATCATAGTATAATTATAAATAATAATGAGATTAAATTTACTTGAAAATCTGAATTAAAAACGAATCCTATGATTAGAAAGAGTCAGTTTATATTGTTATATTGAATATAGTTCGATGATCATTTGTTATTTGTTTAGTTGTGTTGTATTGATAACATTTCTAGAAAAATTGTTCCAAAAACAATCTCAAGATATTATTGTTAGTAATTTTAGTTATTGACGAGAGTATTTAATATCAATGATATATGATCTCTAGAAAAAAAATAGACATGAGAAATCACTTTAATTCGATACTTCTTTATTAATATCAAAATTAATAAAGCAGATTGCGCGTCTATAAGAAAACACATACATACATATAAAACATACATGTACATAAGTACGTATATGGTACTCCTAAATAACAGACATTATATGCGTTTACGAACTACTTTATATGAAAAGGGTGTGACTTCCGCTCTATAAAGCTCGATTGTAATCTACGCAGGTGCAAGATGGACGCCTTCATCGTCTTGATCTTTTCAATATTAGACGATACATTTTCTTTATTAGATAATGCAACCTTATTTGTAAATGACAACGAAAAAAATGAAATGTGTGTCTTTCGCAACCTCAATATTTTCTTGTCGTTATATTTGTGAAATAAACTTAATTCATTCCTCGTGTTAGGAGATGTAATTATGTAATTGTATAATACAAAAAAAAAGAAGAAAAAATGCCACAAAAGGCCAAAAAGTGCGGGAACAAGAACAAAGGGAGACGGATGGAATGGAGAAATGAAAAAGATAGAGATTCGTGAAACGAACTGTAGTCTGTTCCTCGAGTTGGAAGATACAATTGTGTAAGAAGAGAAAAAATAAGAAAAAGAAGAAGAGATGCCTAAAAGATCCAAAAAGTGCAGGAACAAAAAAAGAGGGACAGGGATGGAACGGAGGAAGAGAAAAAGATAGAAAGAGATAGAGGGAGGAAATGAAGAAGAAGAAGAAGAAGAAGAAGAAGAGACTATGCGGAAGAAGAAAAGAACGCGAAGAAAAGAAGAAGAAGAAGAAGAAATAAGAGGAAGGGATCAGAGAGAGAGTTGGAAAGCTTTGGAATTTTGTTCTTACTTTCGGAGAAATCGAATTCTCGGAACTTGGTATACTTAAATTTATTTATCAATAGAAAAACTGTTTAATTTAACAAATAATTACGGAATACAATCAACCGTTCGGTTCGGATATTTTCCAATTCTTATGCTAGATCGAGATGATATTTGGTGTTAGTCTTATGATTATCATAGTGAAAAGCATTTATGTACAGTAATTGAATATTTTTCAAGTTTAAGATTTTTGAAATATTCCTATTAACGATATATGTAATATATATTGGAGCAAATCTAATAAAACTTGTTACGAAATTAATACACTATATTAAAATAAGTCGTTTGATGTTTTAAAATAATTAATCATTGATAATGAATTAATGTTATACTTGTGCAAATAATATATATGTATATATGCAATCACATGATATGTGTCGAACGAATGATAATTCTTCGCGAAATGGATCTCGTGACGATATTGGTATGTTGAGTTACACGTGAACCAAACCGGAGATATCTCATAGCTCTGTGCTTGATGGACACGATCAAGTGATGCGCCGTGGGTTGCTTGCAGGTCATTTCGTGGTACAGACAGGTTTTTTACGGTGGTACATAAGAGGAGAACCGCCTCTTGGATTCCCATCCATTAAGAACAGGAATCTCGTACCGTTTGTTCGTATCCCTTAACTGAGAGAATCCCGTAACTGACATGAGAGAAACACCATCTTCGATCTTTTATTCACACTTTCAAATATACGCTCAAAAATTTTTTTGAGTAAGGAAGCTATCAGTGATGATAATTGTATTAATAATGTACAATTGCAATAACCAAACTGATAGTTCCTCTCCGATACAGATTATTATTAATATTATTATTATTATAACATATATACATATAATATAATATTAAAAGCACTTTATGCTTAAATTTTATGGATAAAAATGAATCCGAAGGAACATGTCTAAAAATGTTAAAATTTTCCAGCAATGTGTTTTTATATTGTGCAGATGTTGGTTTTTGTTAATTGCTAAATTAATGCTTTACGAACTGTTACGAAGATAATAGAAACCTTTGACCTAAAGTATTATGCCTGTCTGTAGGAGAATCATAGAAAAATGTATGGAGAATAATAATATAAATAAAGTGATGCAATTTCTTTTTTATCACGAGACAAAAAATTGTGTGTTGTGTCAAAGAGGACTGTGTATTTACTTGTGGAAAAGTGACGGCGAATTTATTCTCAACCAAAATCATGCTGGAGAAAAAAGAAAACATCGGTGATAAGCAATCATTACAAAAAAATCATAAAATATGTCAATGACTTCGAACCTTTCGTATAGAAATTGGACTTCCGATTCAAGATAAAAAAAAACAAAGCATACGAGTGTCGCGTGTCTGTGAGGAAGAGACAAACAGTAGACAGCTGGCCTGGAAGAGCGAACGACATGTCTCATCTCTCTCTCTTTTTCTCTTTTATTCCTTTCTTCTTTTCTCTAGATACCTACGTTTCTTTTTTATTTGACGCAAGTTATAATATATAAGCGTTCACGCGCTTTTTTCTGATCAAATGTAAGTCATGCTGTTTGGAAGGGTATACGAGAGAGAAAAATAAGTATAGGGGCGAAATGATAGAGTTCCTTTGAGAAAAAAGACAACTTATTCAGAAAGAAGAAATTAGCAAAGGAAGAATTAAAGATATAAGAAGAAAAAAGAAATAAGATCCATGCGTCGTACATAGATTCCAAATCTGGAAAACCCGTACAACCTCCAATAAAAAGTTTCTTTTTAGAGACTTTCAATCAGTGGAATATGTTTAGCGGATCCTGTAGCGTCTTTATCAACTATTTGTTATGAATAAATGCTTCTGCACACCTGTAAATTATCAGTTGAAACGTGAGCATCGAACGCATCGCATCGCGGTCCTTTTAAACGCGCATAGTGTTGTTAATATTCATCCCATTTTAATGTATATATATGGGACCTTTGATAATAAGTACAATTGAATTATATTATTAGAAATTTGCATAAATAACAAATGTAGTTGCTAAGTGAGACTATATCGCAACCTGTTTTTCATGGATATGTGATCTTGGAAATATTCTTTCATTCAAGCATAAAGTTACAAATCCTGCAAGTGCTCGTGTTGTAATTAGGTTTAAATTGTTAATTGAACCTTTACTTAAAAAAATATGTAAAAATTAGCTCCCCATTTTTCCTGTTTAACTTTTATCCAAAATTTTACACGTTAATGCACAATCGTAGTACTTCTAAAGACCTTATAGTTTATCCATTATATTGGATAAACTATTTATCTTATATTTATATGTATAATATAAGGTAATAAATCTTCTATCAAATTCTATCAAAAAACCTTTTCAAAAATTAAAATTTTAACAATAAACAAATTCTTTTTTCAATCCAAATTATCTTTGATTTGGAGTTTCAGTTATGTTTAAAAAAAAAATAAATGGAGATATACATAATCAATGACTCCAAAAATCCTCAAGTGGCAATTTTCAAAAAACTTAAGCTACATCTTCATATTCATCCTGCGTTTTCGGGATTTGGGACCATTATGCATCACGTTGATTCGTTGTTGAGCTCGCGAGTTTCGGAACGCTTGCCACGTGCTTATACTCGCAGAAGCGTGTATCGTAGGTTGTATTTGCCCTTGCGTCTCAGCTTCTTCGTTGGCAGTTGCCATGCGGGACCATTGGCTGACGTCATACTTGTATCTCCCAGTAAGCAACTTAATATTAATAAGTGGAAGCGTTAAAAGAGTTTCCTTCTCGATAGTTGGTTTAAGGATTCAGATTTCCATACATTTTTTCGATAATCTCGATATATGTATATTGAGATAGTCATATTAGGTGATGATTCACCTAGGACTGAAAACGAGACTATTTTTAATTTTTAGAAATACTTTTTAGAATAAATTAAAATTTTTGATCAAACATATATTTAATTCTAAAAAGCTGATGTAATATAGAAGAGATTCACATAATC